CGGGCACACGGGGGTCCCCAAAAGGCACCCACTGTCCCTATTCACCCCCACCTGTGGCCGGTCCCCTCCCCAGGCCCCCCCGTGGCACAGGCCCTGGGGGGGCACCCCCACATCACCCCACCACGGTGCCAGGCAGAGATTTATTGTCCAGGGGCAGCAGTGGGGTGCTGGAGCCCCTGGGCACCAGGGGTGCTGGGGACATGGAACGTGGGTGCTGTGTCCCACTGGCACCCAGGGGTGCTGGGGATGTGGGGGCTGGGCCAGGGGACATGCTGGGGGGGGCGCAGGGGGACCCCATGGACCCCGCTAGCCCTGGGCACCCCCCGGCTCCTGGGCCTGGCTGGGTGCCAGCTCCTGCATGTCCTCCTCGGCGGGTGGCCGTGTCCTCTTGAAGAATCCCATCTGGAAGCAGGACCCGGTGACAGCCCAGCCCCTGGGGACCCCACAGTGTCACCCCCAGGGGACCCCACCACATCACCCCCAGGGGACCCCATGGCATCACCCCAGGTGCTGCCCCCCACCCTGTGCCTCCCACCTCCCATTTCCTGGGTCCCTCCAGTGCCATCAGGCTCCCACCACCCACTGGTGTCCCCAGTGTCCCCAGTGCCATCGTCCCCGCCCTGCCCACTCACCTTCCACATGAGGAGGATGAGGAGGGTGAGGAGCAGGAGCCCGGCGAGGACCCCCAGCACCACCCACCACACCGGCACGGCCCCCTCGCCCCCAGGGCTGGTGCGCACCACCTCGGTGACAGCCTGCGGAGGGATAGGTGGGTGACATCGCCGCCAGCACAGCCGGTCCCCGTGTCCCCTGTGCCCATGCCAGCCCTACCGTGGCCTCCCCGGCGGGCAGGACGCGGGGCCGGACGCGGTAGGGCATGGCCGAGGTGTTGAACCAGGCTTGCGACTGGATGAGGAACTGCTTCAGGAGGTGCTCCCGCTGGGGACAGACATGGGGACACGTGGGGACACATGGGGACACGTAGGGACGTGGTGTCAGGGGTGCTGGTAGCCAACAGGGCACCCATGACCCCACACCCGGCGTCCCCAGGGCTGCTCTCTGCAGGTACCCAGGGACCACCATGCAGGAGGGTGCTGCATGGACACAGTGCCACCCTGTCCCCAGCAGGGGACAATACCTGCTGTAGTGTGTCCATCCAGAGCAGGGCATGGATGCTCACCAGCGCCCGCTGGTCCTTGGCCAGGCTGGGCACCCAGCAGGCGATGCCCACACACGTGGCGTTGCTGCAGTCCTGCGGGACACGGCGGGCGTCACCCTGACCCCCACCCCGGGGGACACCCCCCCAGCCCCCCGCACCCATCATGGGCTGCAGGTCCCCGGGGAGCACCCGCTCACCACGGGGATGGGCTCCTCCAGCCCGGCACCTGGCGGCTCCTCCACCTCCCTGCGCTCCCGCTGGTGGGTGCCATTTTGGGGTGCTGCGCTCGTGGGCCGGGGGATCTCCAGCTGGAAGGAGATGAGGCGTGGGGGGCACCACCTTGACACCCACCCAGCACCCAGCGGGTGGGCGCCAGTCCCCAGGCAGCACCCTACCTGCTCGGCGTTGAGGTCGGGTGGGTTGGTGCAGTTCATGCCCCCCTCGGTGCCCAGCTCCAGCAGGTAGAGCAGGATGCGGCCGCCCAGCTGGCTGGGGACGGCGAGGCGCAGGGTCACCCCGCTGACGGTGCTGGGACCCTTGTTGTGGAGCTGCGGGAGGGCGGTGAGGTGACACCAGGGAGGGGACAGTCCCCCAGGCACCCATGGGTGCAGCACCCCACCTGGTAGACGTGTTCCACCTTGATGCCATGGTCCTCGAGCCGCCGGCTGCCCTCCACCCTGTGCCAGCTCGCGGGCAGCACCGTGGTGGCAGGCAGGGAGTTGCTGGCAGGAGAGGGGGGTCAGTGTCACGCCGTGGCCCCCCCGGTCTCCCGTGGCCCCCCCGACCCTCACCCCCGCAGCCCCCTC